GGGCTCAATGCCACAGAGACAAGATCAACATTCTTTCATGCCTGTCTCAGTCCCAGACCTACAATTCAAAAACGTAGCACCCTTGGTCATCCTCTAAATGTTTATTAAAGGTTGGCAAGTCCTTGCCTTTAATTAAGCCTGAAGGATTTACTAAAAACTGGATATTTTAAAATAGTAGGTCACGTTAAAATTACCCATGACAAAAACACCGACCATCAGGAACTTTGCCGAAATTTTAGGGATCGAAAGACAACTTTTAAAAATACATTTAAAATTTCAGACTAAAAGCAATATATCTTTCAATTCTTCTAGAAAATTGCTGGGGTGGACTGCACATCTTTCCCAACAAATTAGCATTTCTCTATCTATACTTTATATCCTAGTTTGAGTCACTGCAACACAGAAAAAACCAACAAAAAACAACCAGGATGAATCATTCTCCACATCTGCATAGCAAAGGGATGATTCAGACAGAGCGCTTTAAAAAATCACAGCAGCTTGAACAGTAACAAACTTATTAGATAATGAGAGAGCAGACCCCTGCACAGTAAATTAGGGGAATGTGAAACAGCAGTAAAACACTGTCAGTGTGCTGTAAATACTAATTACTGACAGAAACACTGTCAGCTGCATAATTACTAACAAAAGCAACATGATGCTAACCAACAAAACCACTGAGACAAATAACAAAAATTACTACAACGGTTGAGAAAATAGGACAAGCTACTTGTGTAGCATCTGACAGCTGTAATTAATTTTCTGCAACAAAATCTATTTTAAGAAAACAAGACAGAAGGATTTAAGCTTTAAATAAGATGTTTCTGGCTGAGTTCTTTCTCAAAAAGCATTCTGTATAAACCTATGCTGAGATGGAAGAAGTGTTTTATAGCATCCAGTCAGAGCACAGATCCAGGTGAAGAATGTTGCTGGGAAATGAGCCTCTGTTTTTATTTATTTATTTCTTTATGGACATGCCGTTTGTTTTTGCTGGTAGCAATTATGAGAGATGAACTTCCAACACTCTGAGGTCAAACTCAAAAACTGCTCCTCAGTGCTGCTCTTAAAATCTTACTGCAACATAAATTTCCAGACTGAAATGATTGTTTAAACTTTTCAAGCTCTGAATGAATCATCTTGACAGAAGAAAAAGATTTTTATCTTAAATACAAAATGTTTACACATTTTTTTCTACAATTTTGGTATACAGGTGCTGGTCATAAAATTAGAATATCATGAAAAAGTAGATTGATTTCAGTAATTCCATTTAAAAAGTGAAACTTGTATATTATATTCATACATTACATACAAACTCATATATTTCAGATGTTTATTTTGTTTAATTTTGATGATTACAAATGACAACAAATGAAAATCTCAAATTCATCATATCAGAAAATTAGAATATTGTGAAAAGGTTCAAAATTGATGGCCCCTGGTGCCACACTCTAATCAGCTAATTAACTCAAACCACCTGCAAAAGCCTTTAAATGGTCTTTCAGTCTAGTTCTATAGGCTACACAATCATGGGGAAGACTGCTGACTTGACAGTTGTCCAAAAGACGACCATCGACACCTTGCACAAGGAGGGCAAGACACAAAAGGTCATCGCTAAAGAGGCTGGCTGTTCACAGAGCTCAGTGTCCAAGCACATTAATAGAGAGGCGAAGGGAAGGAAAAGATGTGGTCGAAAAAAGTGTACAAGCAAGAGAGATAACCGCACCCTGGAGAGGATTGTGAAACAAAACCCATTCAAAAATGTGGGGGAGATTCACAAAGAGTGGACTGCAGCTGGAGTGAGTGCTTCAAGAACCACCACACACAGACGTATGAAAGACATGGGTTTCTGCTGTCGCATTCCTTGTGTCAAGCCACTCTTGAACCACAGACAGCGTCAGAAGCGTCTTGCCTGGGCTAAAGAGAAACAGGACTGGACTGCTGGTGAGTGGTCCAAAGTCATGTTCTCTGATGAAAGTAAATTTTGCATTTCCTTTGGAAATCAAGGTCCCAGAGTCTGGAGGAAAAGAAGAGAGGCACTTCATCCACGTTGCTTGAAGTCCAGTGTAAAGTTTCCACAGTCAGTGATGGTTTGGGGTGCCATGTCATCTGCTGGTGTTGGTCCATTGTGTTTTCTGAGGTCCAGGGTCAACGCAGCCACATACCAGGAAGTTTTAGAGCACTTCATGCTTCCTGCAGCTGACCAACTTTTTGGAGATGCAGATTTCATTTTCCAACAGGACTTGGCACCTGCACACAGTGCCAAAGCTACCAGTACCTGGTTGAAGGACCATGGTATCCCTGTTCTTAATTGGCCAGCAAACTCTCCTGACCTTAACCCCATAGAAAATCTATGGGGTATTGTGAAGAAGAAGATGCAATACACCAGACCCAACAATTCAGAAGAGCTAAAAGCCACTATTAGAGCAACCTGGGCTATCATAACACCTGAGCAGTGCCAAAGACTGATCGACTCCATGCCACGCCGCATTGCTGCAGTAATACAGGCCAAAGGAGGCCCAACTAAATACTGAGTGCTGTACATGCTCATACTTTTCATGTTCATACTTTTCAGTTGGCCAACATTTCTATAAATCCTTTGTTTTTATTGGTCTTCAGTAATATTCTAATTTTCTGATATGATGAATTTGAGATTTTCATTTGTTGTCATTTGTAATCATCAAAATTAAACAAAATAAACATCTGAAATATATGAGTTTGTATGTAATGTATGAATATAATATACAAGTTTCACTTTTTAAATGGAATTACTGAAATCAATCTACTTTTTCATGATATTCTAATTTTATGACCAGCACCTGTAATTACTGCTCTAAGTTGGTTGCTCTGTCAGCTAAAGGCATGTATTAGAGTCTCTACGCTCCTGTTAACTATTAATCGATTACTAAATTATTTGACGATTATTTTAATAATCAATTTATCAATATTAATCTGATTAATTTTTTCAGCACTAGACAGTCAAAATATTTGTATTTAAATTACCCATGAAGTCTCAGTTTGTACACCACAACCAAAAGCAAGAGAAAGTTCACTAAAAAACAATTACTGCTTAGGCTCATTATACTCTCTATTAAGGGGTGATAAAAGCACATCTTTAAGACCATGAAAAAACTAAGAACAAGAACAAATGTCCACATTGTTGAAATATGAATTGTATCTTGGGAGGAAACATACAGTATTTGTCCAACAACTAAAAGAGACATTGTGTATCACTGGCTAAATATTTACTGATATTTTTACCAATAGTGAATTCATCCCTGTTTTTGAAAAACCCTTAACAGCACTGATGAAAACAATATAGTTTATGTATTTTTACATCTACAAAATGTAACGATGTGTTAGAACTGTAGTCTACTTGAATTTAAAAAGAAAGTTATCAGATTGTAATATTATATGGATCTAAGTAAATGGAATAAAATAGCTGATCGGATTGAAAAACATGCCAATCAGTATATTCTGATAACAGCTAACCAGAGTGATCAGCAACCAAGGGAAATATACATGACCGGTTACAAATAAGCACTCAGGTCAGTCAGCATAAGCCACCCCACTCAGTCACATTAAATACTCATTCCGTTTCTACCAAATCTGATCAGAATACACAGAACATTTTTAGTCCAATCTGACATGTATTTCAATTACTTATGTTAATTTGGTCAACTGTGGGAGTTACAGTTATTGAGTTTAATTTACATGGTATCACGAGCAGATGACAGAAAGACCTACAGGTAGGGTGGTACACAAGTCAAGCGTGGGTAAACAATTCCTTATTTACAGAGCACCCTTCCTTGGGAATAACTTGAGCTTGATTTAAAAACACTAAACATACAAATAGAATATGATTAAAAGGAGAAAGGAAAAAAACAATACATATAATTAAATATATGTATTACTCCAAGGACGAAGGCACTAAGAAGAACTAGAACATATCAGGATGTTCAAAATAAACCTGTTTTATTGTGTTTTTGTGGTAAATAGTTAATCATGGTTGGACAGCTGGAGTAACTTTATCTATTACTGAGGGAATATATGTATGTCTTTTACGAAGGTTTATTGGTAAAACACATAAAGAAGGTCTGAAGAGATGAGAGCAAAGAGTTAAGTGAGAGGAAAGGAGCATGCATAGAGCATAGAGTGAAGGGTCAGAGACCAGGTAACAAAAAATAAGTCACACTATAAAATATGACCTTTCAAAGCTGCACCTGTCTCGTTTTTATATCCACAGCACTTCCAAATCTACCACAAAAAAGTAACAAACAAGTCCAAATTAATAGAAACATTAGACTGAAAAGTTATGGACAGTAGCTTACTGGTTTTGCAACTGAGATTGCACTATAAAAGCATCCATCTGACATAAAGATCCAGAAATGTTGCAAACTAGAAAGGTAATAAGCCTCCCAACATGTCTGCAAATACTGCTCACTAGTATAACTTGGAACTTTGTTTTGACAGAAGATCTTGTTGAACCAAGGAGCTTTTGATCCGGTGGTGTGGAGCACAAATTTACACAAAGGAAAACTAGGAGCAAAGTATCATTTTTGAGACATCCATGTGAAATGTATGACAGACAGACATATAGAGATGTAGTTTAGTGTATTAGACTAGATCTTGTATATAGCCAAATATATGAATGCAGTTATTTCAGATTATGATATTGAACACAACACATAACTAATCAAGATACTAAACATAGTGATGGCGGTATCATGTTGTGGAAATGCCTCCTTTCACCAAGAAGTTCTAACTAATAAAGTGTAAAATAATTCTAAGTCTAAACCCATGTTCTTTTCCATTTCTTTAAAAAGCTTTTCAAAAAGTCCAAAACAAACTAAATGCATGTGTTGTTTTGTATCCTGATTTAAAGCTAATCAATCAGTCAAAATTAGATTGACCATAATCTGAGTCTTTACTGGTATCTGACCAAGCATTATATAAAAAACAATAACAATATTAGGTACGTATAATGCAATAAACAGAAAACCCACCAGCTGCGAGACAAGTAGGCAGCAGCAGCCTGAAGATGAGCCCGCACACCATCTGAGAGGCCATGGCTCCTGGGGGCCCGTACAGAGTCCAGGTAAAAGAAGCTGGAGATTGTCCCTCTGTGGTCAGGCTCTCTCTTGCATCCCAGTCTGATGCGCTCCGTCACTTCCCGGCTGGCTCCTCCGGGCGGCCGCATCGGTTCCCCGCTGCTGCAGACACCTGGACTCCGGCCATTCCACAGGAAGGACGCAGGAAGCGCATTCACCGAGGGTCGCCACAGCAGGGGATGTCACCCCCGTAATGTTGCCCGCATGACAGTTTTAAAACCAAAGATGCGCTGCGGTCATGCTGGCGGATTAAGACGCGTAGACGAGCTGCGTTTTTACGCAGCGCAAAACAACCGGAGAGAGGAGCCAACAAGTCCGCAAGTCCAATTAACCTCCTTTAAGTCACATAAAAACTTTAACTAGAAATCAGCGGACTATAACTCGGTCTTAATTACACCCCCCAGCTCTGGATGGTGGGAACAGGGAGCAGAAACGGCGGAAAAGTCCACATTTGAGCCAGAAGACCCCCCTTACAGAAATTTGACTTTCTGACTTCTGCTGTTGACTCGGTTGTCCAACAGGAGGATACAGGACGAGCGTGAGAATGGCAGCCCATTCAGCCAATCAGAGGTGAGCGACTGAAGGTCTGCCCAGCCCCCTGAGATAATTGGAACCAAGAGGTGGGACCGACACAAGTTAAAAAAGAAAAAATACCTTAAACATTAAAAACAAGTAACACCAGAAAAGCTCTAATGATAATCAATTATAATCATTCTTATCTATATAGACTTTAGTATAATAATCCCTGGACTGTGAAGCTGTGAACATCAAATGAGAAACATAACTTCCACTACGACTCTATGAATCGTTGGCTGTTGGCATGTAACATCTTATTAAAGACAAACAGCGACGTCATCTGGTGCAGCGCCGCCTTGCACAGAGGGATTTGAAGAGTGATTTGGAGGACAAAGCAGGAAAGTTAAGCATTTGGCATTTTCTTTCAAATTGTTTTCTCTTTTATCTCCTTCCGCGTGCAGTCTAAGCTTTTTTTTAATCCAGCAGAAGAACAGTTATAACTGAACAGATAGAATGAATCTCTACCCTAATCCTACCCAAACACTATCTGAATCCAGAAGACAAAACATGTTGAAACCAAGCCATCAGAAGTACTGCCTGCAGTCAGTGAAGTAATATTTTAAGGTGAAATAAAATATGCCATATTTGGACCCTGAAAACCCTATTCACATGGGGAAACAAGGCAGTGGCAACATTATGATGTGGGAATGCCTGTTTTTCTGTCAGAACAAGGAAGCTTTTTAGAGCTGATGGGAAGACTGCACTAAACTAAAACTAAAAAACTAAAGTTGAAAGTCCACCTTAGAGCTAAGAAACCATAGACATAGAGCCAGAGCAACAATGGAGTGGTTAAGATCAAAGTATATTCATGTATAAGAATGGTAAAAGACAAACTTGAAAAATGTTGTTCACAGATGCTCTCTATGCATTCTGACTCAGATTGAGCAGATTGAGATACACCTAACCATTTCTGCAGCTGCACTTCAGGCTAAACATGCTTCTACAAAGTATTTACTCAAGATGAAATAAAAAAGCATATATCCTTTTCCTGCTACTACACAATTATTCACCAGTTAATATATCACATAAAATTCATATTCCTATAAAATAGTCTGGACATTGTGACTGTAAAGTGAAACACATCTTTCAACTATTTTCCAAGGCACTGGAGTACAGCAGGTCTGTGTATGTTCAGATTATCACCTATCAAATACACAGTTAATTCATGATCTGGCAGACAGATATGTTTGATAATGGATAACTTAAATATTTCCAATCCACCAATTTTCTCTTCTCTTTTTAAGACCACAGATTCACTCAGTAATTTAGAAGCATGTAAGCTGAACACCATGATGGGAGTTATGGCCTGCAGCGGCAGATGTTTCCTTTCACAACGCAGAAAACAATTAGTTTACTATTTTCTCTCTCGAAGAGATACCCTCCCTCAGCATTGTTCTACAGGACGTTTTATTTCCAGGTCTTGAGCTTGTGGGTTTCCTTTAGAAATATAATAACATCACAACCTTCTAAAATTACCTTTAACACTTTAGCCCATGATTTAGTAAGTAGAACTGTAAAAAAAAAAAAAAAAAAAAAGAAAGAAAGAAAGAAATATGAATTTATTCTCCAACCAGTCAAAACCAAAATTTAACCTTTTGGAAAATTGATTTACAATCTGCACTATCTATAACTATTTATATTTCTAGTTTTTATAACTAAATAATTAACTTGTCATAACTATTTCTATATAACCCACCCCATTTAAAAGTAATTATACATCTTACAATTGATATTAAATAACAATTTTTTTCCCTTTCAGTAATTTTGCTCCTTGAATTTTCCCATGAATGTCATTTTTTCTCAGTCTAACTCTGAGGTATGTGATGCCTGCAGTGCTTTAGATGTTGCTCTACCTTCTTGACCTCCTAGAGGATCGACCTATGTTCTCCTGGAGTTTGGGGATAATGACTGGAGCTTCATTGTCTTAGAAATAGCTTTTTTTTTACCCTTTGCAGGCTTTCTAATGTTTGCTTAGGCCTAATTTATGTTGCAAGGCGTGTTGGGTTAAAGTGTCTTAATTTCACATGAGCTTGGCATCTATGCATTGTCGTTGATATTATTTCTCTTTTTAAAAGAATAACATTCATTTAAAAAAAGTCTGACTGGAAAGACCAGAGAAGTTTTAAATATCAGTATGATGATGGACGCATTAAAAGCAGTGGTACATTTGGTCTTGAAGGATGGCCGATTTAAAACATCCTGAATCAGCTGGAACAGGAAAAGGGAAAAGACGGTCGTTTTTCCTGACTGAACATTTCATACCATTGCTCACATCCTTTAACTGTGTTCAGAAGGCAGGGCTTTTTTTTTTTTTTACCCCTGTGTCCTGTCATCATGAAAGAGTCTCACCAGGACAGAAACATTTCAGGTCAGGATACAGTTGCTCTCTGTGAATGTTTTCCTGTCGTCAACAGAGTCTCTCATTACACGGGACAAGATTAGGGGGTACACACTTAAAAATAGCAATCATCATTGATCCCCTCTGTGTTTTTTTTTTTTTTTTTTTTACTTTAGAGTTATAAAAATATTGAGACTTTGAAAATAGGATTAAGAAACACATTTGAACGAGCTAAGATATTTACAGAGAACTTTTGCTGAGTCATACATTGCTTACTGGAGCACAATTTTAGATGTAGTTTAACCTTTTTTTCCCTTCCTTTTAAACATTTGCTGACAGCAAAGCTACTGAGCCCTTTTTATTCTTTTAGCTGTCTATTTTGTCTTGCAGACATTTTTACTGATGCAGAAAAATATATTTTTATCAGTGATATATATCTTGTTATGGTAAACCTTCAAAGGAAAACTCTCCAGCATTTATTTAAAATGATTTATCTGCACTCTTAGGAAAATGTGCATAAAAAAAAGCTGGGCAAATGCTATGAAGACCTTTATCAACGTCAGGATTATGCTTACAAATCTTCCTTTGTGCTGTTAATGTTTTTTTAGAGTGTATGATGCAGGGGAAGCAGAAGAGGAAGGGAATGATGGGAGTAGTCAAAGAAACGATCCCAGTGACCTTCACTCTGCATCTGAGGAAGGAAACTTACAGCAGCAAAGGTCGTGCTCGTGATGCAATGAATCACTGAAGGGAATGGTTCAGTTTACAAAAATAAGAAGAGTAAACAGCTAAAAGCAGCAAACCTCTGGCCTGAAGTTGCATTCTTCACCAGCGTTCCAGACCTGCTGCTTATTTTCACTGCCTGAGGGAGCGGTCGGAACACCACACAATCAATAAAGCAGTCCAAAAACATGTCATCCAGGGATTTGTCTGTGCTGTTTGAAGTCCAGGTCTGCTGAGCAAATGTAAAGCAACATCTGTCTTTGATTCATTATTCATCCGACTCCTTGAGAGGGAATTTATTGATAAAATCTCTGGCTCAAAGTGAGCCTTTGGGTCAAGCTGCTCCTTACGCACCTGTAGTTCACTGTCAGAAATATCATAACAAGATTATTGATGATGTTAAGGGGTAACAGAAGATGTCAGTTTTATTTTTTGTGTCATAAATATAGCTGGGTTATTTTATTAAGGTCCCTATGATTAATTGGCCGTTTGATGTGTATGTTAGGTTTGTCTCATGTTAGTCAAGTTTCTGTTTTGAGAGGCAGTTTGGATCATTGATGCAGCAGAAAGAGCTCTGAGGCCTCTGAGGTCTTTGGTTCACTCTCCTCCTTCAGTCTTTCCTTGATGGATCTGCAGACTTCTGACTCTTCCTCTCCAACCATCTTAAAGCATCCAGCTGTATCTTTGTCACTCTCCTACTCACCATTGGACTTGTTGATGTCCTGATCATCCTTCAAAGACTCACCAAGGAGTCTGCAATCTTAGGTTTGTCCTCCACAAACCCCTTATTGTACTCATGGACCTCTGGTCTATCTTCCAAAGACTATATTTACTTATTTACTATAATATACTATTAATGTTTGCATTTATCCTTTCTAGTCACCCCACTGATCCATGAAGTTCTGTCTCAAACAACTCATCTCACAATTAAGGGTTCTGGATATTCAGTGTTCTCATGTGAATCAGTTATAAATCTGTCAACTTTCAACCCATCCTGACACTAATGGCACTGGTGGCTAGTGGGGTTCATGTTAGATCTTGTCTTCATTTTCAGATGTTGCTAGACAGGGAGGGTATTGTCTTGGTGTGAAATAATTATAATGATTTTATATTTTGGCTCTTTCTTTCCATGTGTATGCATAACTGAATTGTCCTCTATTTGAGCAATAGTTCCTGTTTTATTTTTTTTATCTGGTTTCTTTGGTGCACTTTCTTCAATTTACTTCCCGTATTTCCATCTCACCTCTTACTCTGATGATTTTACACTGTTGTTCTTCTACTTCTTGCTATTAGAGTGTTTAGTCATGTTTCGTTTAGCTGTAGAATCCTCTTGGTCGCTTCTTCAGTAATCATTCCTCCATTTGTATTTAACTTCTAGAAGTTTTTTAGTCCTTTTTCACATTGGCCTCTTTCTCTTCATAATCTATGTTTGTCTCTTGGTCTTTTAATTGTATCCAGTTAGTCCATTTCTTTCATGATTTGGGGGCCGATGTCTGGTCTGATTACTCATTTCATTCACCTGCCTAGCTCCCCCCAGTTCTCATTACCGATCATCTGATCCACCTGCTTCAGTCTCTATTTAACCAGCCTTTAAACCACTGATCAGTGAGTGAGAGTTCTCTAGCATACCTGTTTGTTCTCATTGCCTGGTCCTGACCCGTTCTGCCTCTGAACCTCTGAGCCTGCCTGTTCCCGTTCTTATCTGTTTGCCTGACCTGTCTTGGGACTGCTGCTTGATTACTATCTGCTTGTCTGTGTACCGAACCTGGAACTGTTTCCCGACTCCGTTCTGGATTTCCTTTTGGTACCTCTTCTGACCTCCGATCTCCTCACTCTGACTACTGAGCATGTCTTTGACACTGGCTTTGACTTCGCCCTATGGATTGATC